TCTGCGGCTGCACGGAACAGCTCTGTCCAGCTGCGGGGAGGATCACAACTCTAGGATCTGGGGTACTTGTAAAATCAAAGCCCCCAGCATGTCAACATCCATCCTGGCTGTTCTGCAAGCGTCCCCGGGAGCAGCAGCCTGGCCACACAGTCCTCCAGGGCAGGGAGTCCCACAGCCACGTTTGCTCCTCCAGGCAAAAGCAGGGAAATCTGAACCACGAAGTGGAGTGTGGATCACCCCACCCAGCTCCTGCTGACCTAAAGATCCCACTGATCTTGTCTGTTCTCAGCCAGTCCACACTGCAGCTTGTCCCCCTGCACAGCCGGGGTGCGGGGAAAGCCTCCTGGCCAGCCCTGCAGCTTGGTGGGTGGCACAGCTGCTGGAGAGGGTCCCCAGCTCCGTGGGGAGCCTGGGGACGCTCACTGCCTGTAGACGGCGAGGAGACACGGGCGAGACGAGGGGCTGGCTCGAGACACAGCGGAGAGGTGCAGCGCGAAGCACAAAGGCTCTCCCATCCTGGCCGCTTTGCCCTGGAACGCAGCATGGGAACCGCTGCCCAGCGCAAATCTGTTCCTCATTATCCGCCCCGGCTGCCGACTGATCCCGACTCCGTCACCAGCCACTCGCTGCACGGCCCTGGCCAGCTCGCATCCCATCAGCCTACCAACTTCTGCACGACTTCACCAGCCAGCACAGCGGGGCAGACCAGGACCAGGGCTGGCATCCACCCCCCTGGAGGTCCCTCCATCAACAGGCAGAGGAGGCTTCCAGCAAGAGCAGGGAGCAAGGATGGCTGCTTCACATGCAAAGAACAGGAAGGCAAACACAGGAGAATTCAGCAGAGGTGTTCAGTCTGATCGTATCCAGGTGAGATGAATGCCTGGACAGATGGACAGGAGCAGGAAGGAGCAAAGAGTGGACTGATGTATCTCCAAAATGCGTGTACCCAGATACAATCAGACTGAACTCCTGAATTCTCCTGCATTTGCCTTCCCGCTGTTCTCTGTGAGAACGTGAGCATGGCCAAAGCCTCTGCCACGCTTTGTGCTTGCTGGGACCAAGTGGGAGGTGAGAAGCTGGGCTCCCATTCACTAGCTTCCCACCGCTTATGCCTATATAGGCCATCGTGAAAACATCACACGAGGGCGTCAGAAGTGCTCCAGAAATAGAGCAGAATGAAAAATCATGCAAGGTTGCCCGTGAGTCAACAGTGCTCTTGCTGCAATGGAGAACATGAAGCTGGCAGGTTTAAGGAAATTATTATTCCTCTTGACTTGTTACCTGTGAGACACAACTGGGTACTAGCTCCAATTTGGGGCTCCCCAGAAAAAGACAGAGAGAGAGAGAGAGAGAGAGCAGAGAGAACCAGCTTTAGGAAGACAAGGCAAAGAGGGGAGTAACCTACAGGGCAGCACAGAGAAACCAGAGCCCAGCTCTTCTCAGAGACACACCTGGAAGGACAAGAGGCAACAGGGACAAGCTGTGCCAGGGAAAATTCTTGCTGGGCATAAGGAGAAAATTTTTCTGTACAAGAGTGGTGCAGCTGTGGTGTGGCTCTGGGACAGGGTGACAGCTCCATCCTCAGGGACTTTCCAAGCCCAACTAGACAAGGCTCTGAGCTACCTGCTGTAGCTTTGCCACCAGCCCTGCATAGAGCCAGGGTTGGACCACAGACCTCCCCAGCCCCTTCCAGCCTAAACTTGACCTGACGCTCCAACACACATTGTGCAATGTCGAGGTGGTGATTTTAAGACGACTGCACAACACTGCTGCTTAACTGACTTGGGAGATGGCCAACACCAATCCATCGCCCACAGCTTGCCTTTTCCATCCAGCTGATGCCCCGGTTACCAGAGCTGCCTTACATCCCCTGCTGACTTCACAAGTTCTGGTACCATGGAGAAACTGGAGGAGCTGAGCATTGGAGAAAGTAAATCACTGTGGAAAAAATGTGCAGATCTAATAGCAGGCTCTAAGGAGAAGCCTGCCTGCAAAATGACGGGTCTGCGATAGTCAGGCAGCTCTGGGATGGGGTTGCTTATAATAACAGTCAGAGGGTTGTACGTTCTGGGTTACAGTCTGACAAGCAGCTCCTTTGGTTATGCCTTACTCTCTTCTGGAGAAGCAGAGGTTTGGGCACATGTGTTCATGGTTTGGCCCGGTTCTTGTGTTTTTCCACTGAAGCACTTTAGTATTTTTAGGCTGGAAGAGACAGCTCTGTGCTGTGCTGGAAGGATCGGAGCAGTACTGTGCAGGAAGGACACTGCCTGCTATCTCTCCCTGTAAAGTGAAATACAAAGAGTGGAGTACGAGAATAAAAACTGATAAAACCCTGTGGGGAAGGGTGTAGTAGGAGCCACCATCCCTGGTCACAACATGGGTGGTGTCAAGGGTGGGAAGAGGAGGCTCCGGGCTCACCAGCTGCTGGCTGGTGGCATGGAGAGCCTGCACACACATTAGCTGCTAGGCTCAGATAACCGTGCAAGACAGCAGCAACCAGCTCCAGTGTTTCCCAAAGCCAAGATGTCTGCTTTTCCTCCTCTGAGGACCTGAATGCCACAGACCCACTGCTTCCAGGAAAACGACCTGGCCTGCACAACCTGGTGCACTGCCAAGGCAACCGTGTCTGCAGGAAACGCTGGCACTGAGGTCCAGCATGCAGAGCGTGGCTCAGCCAGCACCTCTGGTCGGTAGGAAGCGAGGCGGATGGGAAACATCAGGAGGAGCAAGAGCTTCCAGAGGGACCAGTACAAAGCTCTTGGGGCTAGGAGCTGTATAGTGACCCTGCCAAAAAGGACCTAGGGGTGACGGTAGATGCCAGGTTGAATACAAGCCAAACATTGATCTTGTGAATCAAGTAAACCACATTTACCCTCCTTTAGAGGTGGAGCCAGCAGATTGAGGGAAGAAGAGAGCCGGCACACACCGATGCAGGGAGGTTCCTGTGATCCAGAACACCCTGAAACAGACCCATTTGAACCATATTTTTGGCAGAGAGGAAGCATGGACATGGGAAGATCTGGGCTTCCAGCACTCTGCTGCTGTGCAGGCAGCCATGACACTGGGCAGCAAGGGCCCAGCTGCCTGCTGGCCTCTCGCTGGCTGCTCCCCAAGGCATGGCCTAATGACGGCTGCAGGCAAGCTTCTGTTCGGAAAGAATTTAACATTTTCCACAAACATTATCGAAACTAGGAAATCCCGTTAGGCACATTGAGTCTGAGAGGGGGGCTGTGGCCTTGGGTGGAGAAGAGCAGAGAGGCACAGGGACGCGATGCCTGCGAGGGAGAACCGACCAGGGGCTGCAGGAACCAGGATGTGCAGAGGTTCCCAGACAGCAAAGACCAGACCATGCCGCCTGCTCCAACTCCAATTTATTGAACATTACAAAATACTCTGCATATATTTTCACATTAAAACAATATTCTTGCAAATAAGATATTAAGTCTTGAGTCATTTGTGGTGCCCATGGCTACAGAAAACACTGACCCAGCTAGAGATTTAGTATGGCCCAATATCAGAAATCAAAACCAGAATAAGGCATACCAGAAATGCAAAACTATATAAAAACCTTTTAAAAACCTCATGCTGATCTGGTGGGACAGGTACAGAGCAGAACGGCCTCTGCTGACCCTTGCTCACAGTACCGGGAGGTACTGCCAGCTTGCTTGGCCCATGCTGGGCTCACTCACCCAGTGCATCTACATGTCTTCTTGACACCTGCTGTCTCAGCATGCCCGCGTAGCTGGAACAGGCAGTTATTTATCTGCTTTGGGGCATTAAGAGCCCAAGTCCCCATTCTTCCCTAAGAGGAGCATCCCCAACCCTCCCACATTGCTGGTGCCCAGTTGCCATGCTGAGCTTTTGCATGCTGAGCAATTCTTGGCCCTTGGGGTCACACCAGAAATAATTCACTGTGTGGGCCATTGCCACTGGGTCCCACCATCCTCTCAGGAGGGACCAGAGGTGGCTGGGAGGCTGGTGGTGAGGACAGACCTCGGAAGATGCACTCAGCTTTCGCCCATCAGCCCTGTTCCTGATGTACATTCATACTGCTGCTCACTCAACTCCTCACACCATGACCAGTCCTCCCAGCTGATGGGCCCCAGGCAACTGGAGGGACTGGGATGTGGGCAGGATGAATGCAAAGGATGCTGTGCAGGGCAGCTGCCTCCTAGCAAAGCCAGAACGCTGAACACTGCAGCTATTGGGAACACATCCAGACAACAGGCATGAGGCTGGCACAGCAAGTTGGGTGCTGGAGGAGTCCCTGTGCGTACAGGTTCACTAATCTGGCTCCTGGTGGAGCCAAACCTCAGGAGCGCTGCTCCCAGTCCTGAGAAGATCATGGCCTTGCCTCTGCAGTACCTCCATAACCCAGGGAACGCAGAGGTGCCGTGGCAAGGAGCCCATCTCTGGTCTCCTGGCTGAGCTCCATGCATGCTGTGAGGAACCAGCACTGCAGCCACCTTGAAGTCAATGGCTCAGTCGCTGGGTGTGGATGGACCCTTGTGCCGCCACTTCCAGCCCTCTCTGTGGAGGTCTCCTGCTCACAGCCAGGCTGGAGATCAGCTCGTGCTCCCACACCCACGAGCAGCCATGGCCCATAAGCCAGCACCCCTACACCTCAGGGCAGCACAGCCACGACAGGATCGAGTCCGACTGGGATCCCAGCCCTGGGAGGAGCTTCTCTGGCCTCCCAGCGCTGCGAAGATGTGTAGGGACCAGAGAGGAAGAAAAGGTTTGGGGTCTGTGCCTCCCTGGCTGGACAGAGGCTGGTACCTGCTGTTGCAGCACGAAGCCCAGTTATTGACCAGTTTTGCATCAGTAGGTGCATGGGCAAAGCCCACTTTGGAGTTCAGCTCCAGGAGGAGTACTGGGCTCTCCTGCCACTCCTGGAGTTTATGGAGACACACACAAGCTTTACAATGCAAGACAGCAGAGCGGTCAGCGGGTCACAGCCCGTCTGCAGCTCCCAGCCCCTTCCCCATCTGCAGTCTGCCTCAGAGGTGGCTCGCTCTGTTGAACATCAGCCACCTGGGCTCCGAGGCGGGCAGCATCCTGCCCTGCTCCTCCGTGGCCATCAAAGGCTGCAGCTCCTGCTGCTCAGTGCCATCCGGGCTGCTGTCACTCTGTGACCGGCTGCTCTTAGAGACATGGCTGGGGAACTGGAAGCAGGAGCTCTGCTCCGGCATCACCTGGCTTGCAGACTGGGGTTGCTCCTCCAGCACAGGGCAGGCGAATCTCCTATGCTGAGGTCCGCTCTCAATGCCTGGAGGGGAAGCGATGCTCTCCAGGGAGGAGATGCTTTGGTTCCACGCCTTCTGCATATCCACTGGCACAATTTTGGTGGTCTCCGAGGAGACGTAAACAGCCAGATCAGCCTGGTCTCCTTTCCATGGCAGCTCCTTCTCTGCCAAGGTGGGCGATGGCGGGATGATGCAGGGGCTGGGGCAGACATCCAGGCTGCCTGGGGATGCAGAAGGAGGGACAGTGAGAGGGATCTTGCACAGCTCTTGTTTTCTCCCTGGACCCTGCAAACATTGCAGAACCAACCACTACCAAATGACCAGCTGGCCCAGGGATGCAGGAGCCACTAGGGAGGCTCTGCCATACCTCCAGAGCCACAGAGAAGAGTGATTCTCCCATTCATGCTCTGCTGACCTTGCTTTTGCCCAGGCCAAGGCAACTTTGCTCCTCAGGTGGAGGAAGGACAAGCTACCCAACGGCAGCTGCCCTAGCGTGGGAGCATTGGTGCCTACCAGGAGTTGTCTTTCCCTGCAGGACCTCATCAGTGGCTCGAGCGATGAATACAATGCCTTCATCGTCCTCTCTCTCTGTCTCCGAGCTATCGCTCTCCTCCTCCTCTGAGCTGACCATCACCAGGACAGGAGCTGCAGCCAGATGGAGGGAGTTGGTTTGGAGGATGGGGCACCCTGTGAGGAAGGACTGCACCCATGGGAGAAGGACTTGGTGCTAGCACAACCCCGAGTGCTGTTGTGCCACCAAGCTGGCAGTGGGCAGGCACAGTGGGCTGCTCCCATCCCACCCCAACAGGTCCCCTTGCCAGCCAGGACCTGCAAACCTCGCCTGCCACTGGCCTTACCTGCCTCCTGCCAGGGGACGTTTCTGTGCGTCTTCCCATTGGGTGCGTCACTGGTCAGAGAGATGTTCTTCTGCAAAGGAAGAGGGACCAGCTGGGACCTGCCCTATGCAGACCGCTAACCCTGACCCAGGCGGCCCTGAAAGCCAGGGTAACCCCAGGGACACAGGTTTCCCACCCTGGCTAGATGGCAGCTGGCAGTCAGTGGTTCCTAGTCCTTAGGTGTTGCGTCTTTATGGCCCTACAACAAACAGCTCAGCTGCAATGGCTTCAAGAGCCTCCAAATGAGAGAAGACACCTAAGGCCCAGTTTAAGGCTCAGTGCCACACTTCTAAGCCTGGATCTGCACTGACGTTCAGGCTACTTTATGCTGAGTGCTCTTGGAAAACAAACGTGGGGCTCCTCCAGGGCTCAGGACCACTTTGCCCAGGGAAGAGCCACCCCATGGCAGCGCTGGCATAGTGGGGACACGTGGACATGCAAGACCCATGTGCTCACACACAGCATATGCAGGACTGAGATGAGGTGAGCCACTCTCCGCACTGGCCCTGGAGCTGCCAATGCCCTGCAGCACCTCAACTAACCCCCAAAGGACCTCACTGTCTGAAGCCTGGGGGAGGCCAAATCTCAGAGCTAGTAATGGAGCAGGAGGTTGGGGAGCGCTTGCCTTTTTCCTGCCCTTTTCCTTCAGCCTGGCCTTGCTCTTGGAGGAGCAGACGTTGTGCCTTGTGGACTTGAAGGTCTCCAGGCGCCTCTTCATGTTCTGCCGGAAGATTTCTTTATCTTGGCGCTCTTGTTTATCTGGAGAGATGAAGTGACGGCTGTAGCTGGCCTTGTACTGGCCGAGGAAGAGGCAAAGAGACACAGGGTGAGCAGCTGGCCCCATGGAGCATCCTCCATCCCTGCTCCTCTTGTGGGTGCTGCTACCCTCAGGGTGAGCCGCATGCCACGGCCAGGGAGCACTCACCCGCCGGCGGGGCTTGTAGAGGCTCCCTCGCAGCACGTGGTGCATGGCAGCATCCTCCTTGTCCCGGCGGCTCCGCACTGTGTCGATCACCTGCAGGTCCAGGCATGCGCCACTCCCGCTCTCTCTCCTGGGGAGGAGATGGGGATGGAGATGGAGATGCTGGGCTCCATGCCTGCATCCTGCCAGCCCCCTGCCAGCCCTGGCACAGCCCACCCCTGGGGAAGGGGGCAGCTGCAGGGGTCCAGCGAGGTCTGCCCAGGGACTCGGAGGGATGCTTGTACTCACAGGAGGTTTGTGACTGATGACTCCGACATGGACGTGCGGCTGGGCATGGAGGGCAGAGCCAGCTTCGCAGCCGAGAGCACGTGGCCACCCTGGGAGGTGGGAGGGCAAGGCTGGCATCGGAGCAGTGGGGACCCAGCCAGGCTGGGGGAGTCCCCACTGCCTGGCCCGAGGGGACATGCATGGCTATGCACGGGGTGGACCACCACCCCAGGCCAGCCAGCTCCTGTCAGGGCCATCCCATTGCCAGGCCTCCACTGCATGCACCCACCTGGTCGACGAAGCTGATAGCATCACGGATGTTCAGCTTGTAGTAAACATCCCAGATCTCGTCCCGCAGCCTGTAGGCAGATTTCCGCATCAGGAGCTGGCTCAGGTACTTCTTGTCAAACTGTTCCCACCTGCCACAAGATGAAGACATGGGCAGTTTAGCTCCCACAGGGTACCACAGCCATGGACCCCCTGCCCATGCAAGGCTGAGAGTGTCCAAAGCATGGTGAAAGCAGGCTGGGCACGCAGGACCAGGCTGTGCCCAGGGACACGCTGCCAGGGAGGGCAGAAGGGGAGGGGACATGCTGAGCCTTTGTCCCTGCCCAAGGGGAAGACGAAGACCAGCGGGTGTGCGGGAGGCGATGGGAATGGGACTGGGGCCGGCGCGACTGCCCCGCTGGAGCGCTTCCCCTCCAGGAAACAGGCTTTTCACATCCTTTTCCTGTCACTGTGCTGCAGATAAACAGTGCCTAGGCTTTAACAAACAGGGCTGTTCCCTCCTCAGCGCCCAGCACAGCTCCATCCCCAGCACAGCTCCATCCGTGGGGAGGCATAGGGCCATCATCATCATCACGGACATCCCATGGTCCCCCAGCAGCTCCAGCACAGGCAAGCAATGCCAGCTCTCACAGCATCCCCAGCCACGCCTGCCCGACCTCTCTCTAGGATGCTTTTGGGAGCTTGGTCTGCTGCACAAGAGCAGCCAGACAGTCCCCTTCCAGATGGACTGATGGACAGACATACAGCCTTCCTGGTCCTGCTGCCCTGCCTATAGCAGGGGTGTCCTGCAGAGGGGACCCTGCAATGTCCCCATGGCTGGCATGCATCCACCATCCACTTGATGGCTGATGGAGGATCCTGGCTAAGACACTCACTTGTCCCGCCAGTAATGGTAGCCGTGGTGCCCCACGATGTCCTCCACTGCTGCCAAGATGTGGTCAAAGGCCTTGAGCGAGGAGAAGAGCGTGAGAGTGGTGGCAAGGCTGCAGGTGCCCCAGGAGTGCCGAGGCTGTGCATCACCCTCGCCCAGCCCCTGCAGTGTGGGGAGCAGGGCAGCCTCCGGCGCCAGCACCTACGTGCTCATGCAGCTCCTCGTTCAGTGTGGGCTTGTGGTGGTCACTGCGCTTCACCTTCAGCCATGTCACCAAGGGTTTGATGGTGAGGCCCTGGAACAACAGGAGAAGGCAAGGGAAAGACTGGGAGGGTGAGAAGGTGCATGGCTGGGGCACGGGGAGCAGAAGCAGCACAAAGTGACCAGGGACAGCAGCAGTGCCAGCTGTGCATGCCCCTACCAACCTAATCCCCAGCGCCTGGGACCTGGGCGATGGTCCTGTGTCCCAGCAGGCAGCGACCATGTCGTACCCCCCCAGTCCCCCTTCCCCTAGGCTCGCATCCATCCACCGTGTGGCTCCCCTTCCTGGGGCGCAGGAACCCCAGAGCCATGGGCCATCAGCAACTTTGTAAAAGAACAGCCTGGCCAGGCATATGCAGTTGCTGCTCTTGGAGTGAGTCCCGGAACAAGAGGCCAATGGGGAAACAATGAGGGCCATGTTCCCACCATCGAAACAGCTGCCAGGGTGGTCCTGCACACCAGCCTAGTGATGGATGGGGTGCCAGGAGGCACCTAGGACCAAAGGTGACTTGAAAAGAGGTACTTGCGCCAAGCACATGTCCCTAAGTGCTCGCCTGACCCCCCAGGACAGCTCTGGGCAAGAGGGCAGCACTGAAGGAGGGCACGGTGCCCATCCTCACCTGCACAATGACAGTGAAGAACACCACCACGATGGTCGTTGCCACAAAGTAGTCCTTGGCTTTCACCTTTGCCCTGTCCAGCAGGATGACTAGGGCGAAGGCCACGGCTCCGCGGAGGCCACCATATGACATGACCACCTGGTCGATCCTGTCCAGGGGGATGAGGCGGAAGCGGTTGAGCACGCAGGTCTGGAGGACAACGCCTAGGGAAAAAGGAGAAGGAGAGCCTGGGATGCTGGCAGAGCCTTGCCTACTCCTGGAGACGGGACAGAGCCCAGGCCAGGAGCTGTGGCTGGTCCCATGCCCCAGCCTTTCTTGGGGGCTACCACTTTTTGGCATGAAAAGGGCTGTGTCAGAAGCACAGTGGAGCAGACTGACCCACAGCTCTGAAAAGCAGGATGAAGAACAGGGTGCCCAGCACCAGCGCTGTGTCCCATGCCCACTTGGAGGTGTCCACAGCTGAGATGCCCAGAAACATGAAGATGATGGTCTCTGAGCTGCTGGCCAGTGTCTTCATGGTGTACTTGACTGTGGTGCGGGATTTCTGGGAGATGTTGGCTTCCACGTACTTCTTGCAGCAGATCCCACAGAAGGTGACTCTGCAGAGGGACAGAAGGAGCCAGCATGACCCTATGGTGGGATGAGAAATGGGTCTGCTCACCACCTCTTGCAGCTTAGCACTGCACCCCTGATTTCCTGGACCACCCCCCAGTACTCACGCCAGGATGGAGGAGAGTGAGACCATCTCAGCAGCAAGGTACGCAACGTAGGCCAGGAGGAAGACGAAGAGCGGCTCGATGATGCGCACGCGTTTCGTGAACCGCGTGATCAGGGCCAGGAGGAAGGCGAAGAGCAGCCCCACGGCTGTGCCCCCCAGGCTCACCAGGAAGAAGGAGGCTGGTGGGGGCAAGAAGACTCATTTGCACCATAAGCAAGTGAGCCCAGCTCCTGTGCCCCATGGCCATGCCATGCTGGGCTGGCCAAGCCCCACGTTCCCACCTGGTTCCCCACCAAAGCATCCCATGATGACAGCTGGTGTGTGACCACTGGGATGGAGATGACAGAGCTGTGGTGCTCAGTGCCCACCCCACAGTACAATAGCACCTGTGCTTGCCCCCGCCACTTCCACCCCGGAGGAACAGTCAGAGGGGCTGGCGGGGCACATACTCACCTACCCCCTTCACATAGTCCGTGGCATGGATGTGTGCTGGGCCCAGCTCCACAAAAGAGTTGAAGACCTTGTACAGCACCTGCAGGCAAGGCAAATCCCTTGGGGGAAGCAGGGTATTGCCCTGCCTTGAGAGGGGCAGCACCTGCAGGCAGGATGGACCCTGCGGAATAGGCATCGCCTGCCCCAAATCTGCCAGGCAACACAGCCCATCTCGGCAGGGAAAGTTCCCCAGGGCCAGGAGAGAAGAGAGACCCAGAGAGCATGGCATGGGTCTGCCCCTGGCTTGGGGATGTCACCTGCATCCTCTGCCCATCCTGGAGGACTCCAGTGCCCTGGCCCATGTTGGGCTCCACTTTTGGGTCGCCCAAGCTCCAACTCACCACGGTGACAGCATCGTTCAGGAGAGACTCGCCGAACACGATGATGAAGAGGGTCTCGTTTACATGGACCTCTTCGAAGACGGCCAGCACTGCCACAGGGTCCACGGCTGAGATCAGGCTGCCGAAGAGCAGGAAATCCATCAGCCCAGCTTCAACGCCCGGATCTGCTAGGACAGAAGGACCAAGATCAGGCAGACCATCTGCCCCAGAGCCCCTTTCACCAGGCTGAAACAAGCTTGTCCCTGTGACTTAGCTGCCGCATCCCAACTTGGAGTGTAGCAGGCTGAGCCAGGGAGTGCTCCCAGACCTCCAGGGTCCCCCAGGTGAAGCAGGGTTCAGCACATCCTTGCTGCAGCATGAAGGGACAGGGCTTGGACATCCCCCCTGGCACCCAGGTGCATCCCTGCCCATCCGGCAGATATGCACCAAAGGAGGCTCAGCAGCCCCACCTCAGGTCCAGGTATCAAGCGGTTCCTTGGGGCTCAGGAGACTAAAAACACAGCCCAGGCCAGCCAGGGCCAGTGGCTACAGCCAAGGACAGGGAACACGGCAGCAAGCCAGCAAAGCTAGCCAAGGTCGGCAACAAAAATAGCAAAGACATGAGTCAGCTCAGTGCCAAGGAGGGCTCATTTGTCCTGCATGTTTGACAGTTCTGCCACAGCACCATTTCCAGGATGCCAGGACTCTGCTCCTGCAATACTTCCTGGGAATCCACGGCAGGCTGGGCAGTGGGCTCTGAACTTGGGGGTGCTTTGCACCCTCCAGCCCATCTTTTGGGGATGTGGTCCAAGCTGGGCAGCTCTGTGCACCCACCCATGAGTCCAGCCCGGTGCAGCCCCCAGAGCGCAGCACCGGTGGTGAAGGAGTTCCAGAGCGTGCCCACCACCGCGTAGGTGAGGATGGCGCCAATGTTGTCAAAGAACAGCCGGCTGGGCATGAAGTAGCCCGAGTCTAGGACAATGGGGGGCAGAAGGAAGAGGAAGAACATGTTGGGCTCCAGCTGGTACTCGGCTTTCTTCGCCACGGCCAACACGATGCCCCCCAGGCCCAGCCCCAGCAGGATGAGGAGGCAGCTCTCCGGGACGATGGATGTCACTTTCCTTGACAGGTGGAAAACTAGAAGGAAAGGAAGAATGAGAGCATCAGCCAAACAGGCACACGGACAGAGCATCCCAGATCCACAAGCTCCACAAAACGGTTGGCTGTGGAGGGGAGGACAAGGGGGCACCTAAGGCTGCTTCATGGCCTTGTGTGCACAGAAGACCTTCCAGCTAGCTCCCAGTCAGGATTTCAGGTCCCTGACCCTTTGAGATCTTCCTCTTCTCCTCAGGCACTGTCTAATAAGCCAAGCAGCTGGGCACTTTGCTTTTCTTGGCCTCTGGTATCTGCACTTAAAGGATAAAAGCAGGCAGTGACCACGTTCACAGTGTCACAAGCAATGCCGGCTGCTGTTCGAGCAAAGACATCCGGGTTCACTGGGACACATTACCCCACTCAGAGACAAGGATGCTCAGCCCTGGTGACGGGGTGACCTTGTTTGCAGTCGTCTGAGCAAGCAGACGGAGCAGCATGCAAACCACTGCAGCACAAGCCAGTCGGCCGCTCTCTGTGCCAGAGCACAGCCTTCCTCAGCACCGGCTAAACTACCTGCATGCGAAAAACAGGCGCACAGGAGTGGCAGATTTAGAGATGCTTTGAATAATAAGTTTATTCCATGCGAGGTTAAATCTTAAACTGCTGTGGAACAGGATATATTTTTTTAAAGCAAGCAGAGTATTCATCCTGGTATCCATCCATCAGCAATGAGGCAATGAGCCTGCAGGTCAGCCACAAGCCGGCAGGACGTCACGCCAGCCAGCACAAGGGACTCACTCCTCCAGACAGCCTTGTCCCCAAGGCCAGGGCATCCTGTGTAATTGCAAATTGTTCCAGTTTCCAGGTGGGCAACCTCCTATCCCTGAGGATTTCTCCTCCCTAGTGCAGGGTGCTGTATTTTGCTATCCCCCCAAAGGTCAGTGCTTGGGGAAAGGCTGTCGGGGGTCACAGCAGTTTTGCCCTCTCATCATTCTGCCATCATTTGTGACATCCAGCCCAGCTCTGTAGCATGACTTGGCCATCAGATGAAGAAACCTTCTCCTGGGGAGCAGGTTCCTCCAGGCACTTCCAGAGCCACCTCTGTCCTTGAGCACCCTCAGGTACAAGGGACATCAGAGCAGCCTCTGAGCTGTCACTTAGCTGCAAGCCCAGCTCTGCTGCCAACCCAAAACCCAGTCCCTGAAGCCCTTTAGCTGGATTAAAGGTGCCCATTGCTTGTGCCAAGTCATCCCACCAGAAGGAAAGCTCTGCTGTGATCACATGCAGACCCTAGGTTTCTTCCCTCCTTGGGAATTCCCATGGACAGACCATAATGTCTGCCTAGCCCAGAGTCCTATCTCCAGTGGCATAGACCTAGAGAAGAGCCCAGGAACAGGCAGTGCTTCATCAGTAGGTTTCCGCATCTCTATGCCCTTGTCATTCTCCTCTGAATCTGTCCCAGTCCTGCTCTATCCTTTCTGGGATGGGTCCCAGTGTCCCTGAGATGCGGACACCCTGGGCACTGAGGTTGTGGCCTCCTGATGTTCTTTCTTTCTCCTTTCCTAATACCTCTTAGTCGATTTTCTTTCCTTCACTGCAGCTGAGCACTGAATTAGAGGAGATAACTCAATGTCAAAGATCTGGTTCCTAAGCAGAGATAAAGCTTTCAGTAAAGCTTTCGATACTGTCTCTCACAGTATTCTCCTGGACAAAATGTCCAGCATACAGCTGGATAAACACAATTGCCTGATGGGTCAGGCTCAAAGGGTTACAGTAAATGAGGTTACATTGGGCTGGCGACCAGTCACTAGCGGGGTTCCGCAGGGATCCATCTTAGGGCCAGTGCTCTTTAATGTCTTCATAAATGACTTGGATGCGGGACTCGAAGGACTACTATCTAAGTTTGCCACTGACACAAAATTGGGAGGAGCTGTTGACACTCTCGAGGGCAGAGAGGCCCTGCAGAGAGATCTAGACAAATTAGAGAGCTGGACAATCACCAACCATATGAAGTTTAGCAAGGGCAAGTGCCAGATTTTGCACCTGGGACACGGCAACCCTGGATGTACAAACAGACTGGGGAACGAGAGGCTGGAGAGCAGCCCTGTGGAGCGGGATCTGGGGGTTCTGGTCAATGGCAAGTTGAACATGAGCCAACAGTGTGCCCTGGCAGCCAGAAGGGCCAACCGTGTCCTGGGGTGCATCAAGCACTGTGTTGCTAGCCGGTCGAGGGAGATGGTTGTCCCGGTCTCCTCTGCACTGGTGCAGCCTCATCTTGAGTACTGTGTGCAGTTTTGGGCGCCACAGTATAAAAAGGATACGAAGCTCCTGGAGAGTGTCCAGAGGAGAGCCATGAAGATGGTGAAGGGTTTAGAGGGGAAGCCGGACAAGG